CCCGAGATTTTGATCTCAATCTCCGATTTATTCTGCCCTAAAGGCTCAAGATTTATAAGAGAGAGAAAAAAAAAAGAAAAGATCAAGAAAATGGGAAAAAAAAAGGAAGGCTTTTCTAATGAGGAAGACGATCTTTTATATCAACGAATACGCCATTTACCATAACCGTTGAGATTAAGAGATAGGATGATTTACAACCGTGCGATTTTTTTATTAATTTATTATTTGGGTTTTAATTCTAAGCAACCACGTGAGGAATGACAGTTTTGTCCCTGTATTATTTTGATTTTTGATTTTTGACTAAATTACCCTCTAACTGCTGTCATGGTCTCGAGATAAGTCCTTTTCGTTTCTAAAATAAAATAAAGAAAAATCTCTTAATAAATGATACGAATTTGTTTTAAACAGTTACTGAAAAAGTCAGCCCCACGAATACAACAATTTCTTTTATTTTCTCCCATAACAAAATCTTTTAATTACAGTGGAGTCCAATTAATTAAACATAGGAATATATAAAAAAAGTTTTAAGTTATAATTACAATTTTTTTAGAAGATGATTAAAGGGTCACATGCCAACTGGAGATGGAATTAAAGTGCTTCGTTATGTTCAACACAAGTCTAATGTTGCACATGGTTGTGTGTTTCATCACTAAAAAAATCAGGTACTGTATTGAATAACTTATGTCATTGAATGCAATATGACTAAGAAAATAATCGTTAAATAAATGTAACTAAGCATTCATTGCTGAGAAATTTGAACCAAAGTCGGAGTACGATATTTTTTTATCAACAACAACATTTACATTGAAAACAAGAAAGGACTAAAATTTCAACTTAAAAAGTATAAATTTATATCGAAATAAGTATAATAGTAGCAAATTTTGACCATTAGCGGGGGATATTGTTGTAATTACATATCAAGCCACTACGACTTGCACGTGCGGTAGTACCAAAATAATCAACAAATTTAACCGCATAGACTTTTTATTTGTGCTAATCGGCTAATAATTAAGCAAATTTGTTTTCAACTCATTA